AATTTGAGTTATTTTAGGGCCGAAAACCCCTTTTATGGACCCCGATCCTTTTGCTTCCACATTTTCCAAATCGTATATTATATACGTACAATTTTGCATCAATTTTAAATCGTTTTTTAACCGAACGGGTCTGACCGAGTTTCCCTTTTTGAGAGAAATACAATTTTCCTGAGGCTTGTATATAATGTTGGATACTTGGGCGTAGCACAAACCGGTTAAATAATCCCCCTGAAGATACTACTATAGCAAAACACGTGTTGGACGTTGAATACAAGAGTATGGTGTGGTGAAACTCTTCCCGAGGCTTCCATACTTAAGAAATAATACGACATTTCACTGTACTAACGTTCACGTCAACGATTTACGCACTGTGCTTGTGAAGGCTTTTAGAGCTTGAGACTGTTCAAGGAGCACTTACAATAATGCAGTAGATCACTCTAAGTGTTCGAGAATCAAGAGAGCGTGGAGGGGCGAGGGTGGAAAGATAGTGCGGAGCGCTCCAAGAGTTATGAATGGTCGCTTTGATGTTCACGGTGGATGTTTCTCAGATTATTTGGGGGTGCAAGAACAAACAGAGGTTGTTTTTGTATATGTCTGTATTATGATACCGCAGATGAGAGCAATGAGCGTTGTGGCCTATACCATACAAAGTGAACTAGCCTTTTTTTGCGAAAATGTATCAGCGTGATCATTGTCAAAACTTTACTCTCATTCTTAACGACTGAGAACAAATGAACCTTTTCATACTCAAACAACCTTAGAGGCTAAGCCTAGGGTTTAATCATTGCTTCGCAAAAAATTGCATCCAGTGGTCAAGGTTTTGCATTTTCAAGTTTTCCTTACCACATTATTCAAATGTTCAGGCTGTATTTGTAGACAATAGCAATATTTCCAGAGGAAGTGTATCAAGAAATAACATAAAAAGTTTCTATACAGTTGGGTCCTAAAATGTCCCCTTGCCAATGTACGATTACAGGGTTTTTATATTTCGACTTCACTTCAAATTTAATTAACGTTAACATATTTTCAGTCAAAAGTAATAGTGTAACAAACATTTAATAAGATACCTGATCCTAAAATTCAAAATTCAAAAGACGTTCCAAACAAGGCATTTTAATAAAAATATTTTTCTTTTCCCTGTTGTTCAGATATTTCACTCTCTGCACTACTGGTGTATTGTGGGAAACGAAAAGGTTTATACGGTGCTGTTAGTACTACTCAACGAATTCAGACTGGGTAAAAGGAGCAAGTCTATGATATGTATCAGCAGTCAAGACGAATATTCATATTACAAATCGGCAGGCGAGCCACCAGTTTGACAGTTCACATTAAATTAATATTTTTCTGCAGAAACATATAGAAGTGCGTGGGGTCCATACAGTCCTAGTGTTCCAGACAATTACAGAAAATGTTTGGCTTTTACCTTGACAGTTGTGAAGTAACTTTGAATTACTTCAGTCTACTTCCAATTTCTTTTAGTGCTCTGTCCGAATCTGAGGTTTATCTGCAGGATTGTATAGCTTACAACAACATAAAAAAAAAACAAATTTTTTGATGGATATTGAAGTTGAAGTGAAATTTTAATTTTGTCTTATCTGCTTTAACTTTGAATCTAAAAGTTCTTGGGAAAGATTTTTACTTACACGTTATAAATAGTAATTTGAGAAAGATCAGTAGGCCCCAAAAAGTCATGAATGTCAAATTAACTAAATTACTTCCAACTATTTCTATTGGGTAAATATACTAACAATGTTACAGTTGCAGTAATTTCAATATTATCCTCAACTATGTATTTGCTTTCAGCCAAGAATCTGCTCGGATCACAACTATTTTACACCGTAAGGGAGTAATTAATGAACAATATTTACATGATATTTAATGCGATTTTTGTACCTAAAGCCACTGTTTTTTGAGTCACTCTGTACAGGTTACATAGTTTTGCATCTACCAACAAAAACGCTTGTGTTGCGTGGAATTCCAAAACTGCATCTCAAATGCAGTCAAGTAGGTTGACTCCGCTCTTTCTATGCAATGCCGTTATCGATTCATGAAGGATTATATTCAGCACAAGAGAAAAGGGACTACGAACATGTAGGTACAACAAAGGAATTAAATGGATCGTGTTAGTCCAACAGGGTCATACATCTAGTGCATAGACGAAACGTATAAATTGCTAACGTCAAAAATTATCATAAACCCTCCCCCACGGACTACAATCTCCAACATCCAATGTTTAACCCCTGCAAAATGTTTCTGGAAATGATCAGTTTACGCGATTTTTATTTTCTTTTGATTTTTTGCCTGTAGCTCCGCTGCCACTGGACCGATAAACTACAGATCGTTTTCGTCCTTGATATATTAGTAACATTGTGTGAAACTCTCATCAAAATCCGAGCTCTACTTTTCAAGTTATAGGAGGACCAAGGATTAGCGGACAAACAAACAGACAGACCGACGGAAATGAGTGACATGGTTTTGTCATACAACATCCAAAAAACATAATATCTTATTTTAGAAATTTTTCATGATTACAACTTTCTCCCGTAGGAAATAAAAATGTAGGAACGCGATATGATATCGAAGTTCAAAATGTGCAACCATACGGGAAGAACATAACCGAGAGCATATAGCGTAAACATTATCACACCCCTAAGGATATGAACTCCTATTTGCTGAGCCCTGTTATTGCGTCCGGCCCTCGGCAGCCATCTTATTAAATCCTAACCGGATATTATCCTTCGCCTGTTTCGATTCAAGATGTGATCAAAGGCGTCGCTGCTTCCTGTCGCCTTTCATGTCGTTTTTCCTCCTTTATACCAGTTTTTGTAAGGGGTCTCTTACCAGTATCATTTTCTCCGACGACATAATATAGAATTATAATCACTACCTTTCAATGGACTTTTGCTGAACCTACCCTCGTCTCCTGAGACAGAGGAAATCAATAACGTAATCAATAAATGAAATACCTAGTTTAGCCCAATTTTTTGAAAAGTCTCATAAGCTCTATCGAAAATCCAACTGTTTTTTGAAAAACCATGATGTTCAGAAAGTTGAAGTGCTGACTCAGCACGTTACAATATGAAAGAAGTTCTTTTTTGCCGAGAGCGAAGTGCATGTTGAGAACTATATTAATCGCCGTGCAGTAGTTTATATAGTGAAATTGGTGTCATGTTGGGTAAGCTGAGGTCTGGCAATGCTTCGCTGTCACAATCTGGTCATGATGGCAAGGCTATAGTTGTCATAGCTATTGCCAGATACTTCTATACAAATTTTGGTCGTTTAGCTGCTCCATTAGCATAATTCTTACATTATGAAGGGGGGGCAATCAGTTGTTTTTTCTCAAGTTGGTATTATTTTGACAGCTGGAAACACTTCCATGCTCAACATATTGACAGATATATTGTGTCATACTTCCGCTGTAAGCAATGGATCGTTTTAATCTTGAACAAATGTGGGAAATATTGAAAAACTGATTTCAAAGTGAGTGCTGTGTTACAGAAACTTTGCGAAAATTGAGACGACTATTTGGTCGGAATGAAGTTCCGTCCGCGACTGGTATACGAAAATTCATGAAGAAGGTTCATGAAACTGGCCTGCTTGTGGATAACAGAAGGTATGAGCGTGTTGCCCAGAGTGTGCGTGAAAATGCAAGAATGTCAACTCGTCACAGAGCACAAGTGGGCATCAGTCGCACTTCTGTGCGGAGAATATTGTATTACGATCTGGGATTATTTCCTTACAAGGTGCAACTTGTGCAAGAGTTAAAACAAAATGACCATCCGCTTCAATATCGTTTCTCTGTGTGGGCTCTAAATCAATTGGAAACGGACGTCAATTTTGGTCGCCAAATCATCTTTTCGAACGAAGCCCATTTCCATCTGGGAGGTTACGTTAACAAGTAGAACTGTAGGATTTGGGGTTCTGGGCGTGACGGTAAACGAGGCTCGCTATAGAGACACGTTGAGGAGTTTTTTGTTGCCACTATTACATACTTGCACAATCTCTGGTTCCAGCAGGATGGCTCAACATGCCATACCAGCCATGAAACAAACGATCTTTTACACATTACGTTCGGTCATAGCGTTATCAGCCGTCTTGGAGACGTTCATTGGCCAGCTCGCAGCTGTGATTTGACACCAATGGATTACTTCCTATGGGGTATTGTTAAGGACCGCTGTTACACTAACGATCCTCAAACAATTGATGTTCTTAAAGAAAATATCCGTCGAGTTATTGATGAAATACACCCACAAACTATCGAAAATGTGCTTCAAGAGGATGGACTACTGCCAGGCCAGCCGCAGCAGCCATTTAACTGAAATTGTTTTTCATAAATAACTGGAAGGTGTATTCTTTTAAATAAAGTATCGAGTGTTACATATTATTGAAGAGTTTTAATAAAAATTCAAAAAAGAAACCAACAGATGGCTCACCCTTTACAAGATTCTCAAATGACCCCCGTTAAATACCACACACAAGTTTCTTCCTGTTATCGTCATAATATCTAAGCTGAACTTTCAGTGTGCTATGTTATACTCAGAAGCACCGCTAATGATACCAAGTGGAAATTGCTTCGTTTAACGCCGAATATGCATTTTGGAAAAGCTCCAAACGACGCCATATCGTAACATAAACTTCCAGAACGCTTAAGGAAGTGTCCTCAGTTCAATTTTATTGGATCTTAGTTTCTCCTGGCTGCAACGTTCGTTTATTTGTGAGTCTGCGGGTTAGAATACGCAACTATGCACTTTGCTAATGTAGTCGTTTTAGGTCTCTCTCAGACAATTAAACTTCTTAATTAAATTTCTTAGCAATTCCGAAGATTTTCTGGAAATAGTCGGTTTTTAGGTAAACTTCTAGTCGAAAATACATATTAAAATATGTGTTCATTAATCGGAAGCTATAAACTTACTATTGCTTGAACCAGCTTGACAATATTTGAAGAAAAAAACAGCCAGTACTTATCACAATAGTTAATATTTTATTTTTGGTCGTCCCTTTTTATTTATTTATCGAGGTATCTAATAATTGTTTATTTTGTTACAGACAGAAGATGAAGGTAACCATGGCAACGATGACACGCGTTGTTTCATCCTGTCAACACTGGCATCTCAGGGCCGTAATAAGGTCCACTGTGTTTTGTGCGAAGAGCAACTGTTGGTGTTCGACAGGTATCCATTGGTCGACGGAACGTTCTTCCTTAGTCCCAGGCAGCACGCGAAGAGCTGCATCGAGGTAAGAATCTACTACACAATATTGTAAAATGTGGAGAAATCTTCAGTATGAAATTATTGCCGTCAGGGGCGTAGCTACTGCCGTATCAATGTACGAAACCCGCAGCATACAGAGGCTTCACGTACGAAAAGATGCGTAGTGTTTTTCACAAGATCACGCAAGATTTTACTCAAACACCATTACCACTTAAATGATTTTCAAAAATGAATTAGCATTGCATGCTGTGACCCCCCACATAGATTTAATTATTGTAGATATTTCAACACAAAGACGTTTACCCGAATTTCTAAAATATTCCATTTATAGTAACTCCCCGCCATAACCATCGAAAAGAAAAGTTTTGAGGGTAGGTTCACTTTTACAGAAAGTTATCTCTTGCCGATGATCCACCCCCTCTGACTGGGAAAACTTCCTGTGGCGCCCATGCTCAATACGTGACAATTCATAGTATTCAATGCAATCCTTTATGTTTCTTCTTATCCCCATTTCGGATTCGCCACAGTTGGATGGGGCCTCCCTACAAATTTTGATATGGGGCGTCTGTGGAACAAGCTACGGAGCTGATTGCTATGTTCAAACGACTCCGAAATGAAAGTTTTCTTTGATTAGCCGCTCTGCTAAAAACTTGTATATAACATCCAACACTAGTTATTTCGTTTGTCACCGGCACAGACCCATCCATGTTTCTGAACTTCTAAAATGTTTGGAAACGTCTTCATAATTTTTTTTTGTTTCAGGTGAAAGTTGAAGGCCGTACGCAATTTCTCAGCGTAGTTTGCATGGGATGTCTCGAAGGTGTCCACGGTCGCGCCATAATGTGTAGATTCTGCAACCAAAAATGGGACGGTTCTTCCTTGGTGTTGGGTACCATGTACTCGTACGACATTTTCGCAGCAATGCCTTGCTGCACGGAAAGGATAAAGGTAAGCACCTCTTTTCCTCCCATCATATTTTTGATAAACAAGTTAAAGACATCCTATAAGAAACTCAACTAGAATGTTGCCTTCATATGTCCATATTTTTGCTGCATGGATGAGAACTTTGTTTTGTAATGCGTAGACAACTGCTAAACATTGCTCATTTTGTTTCAGTGTAACTCCTGTTACAAGCCAGTTTTGCATCCCGCGCAGAGGCTAAACTTCTTCAGCGACTACAGCCATATGGTGCCGTGTCCGCATTGCCGCACTTTGGACACGCACTTCGTCAAGCCTCTTCCATTTTGCTACGCTCGACAGGTAGGTCTCACTTTTGGCTACAAAATAAAATTTATGTTCATTTGCTAACATCGATAACTCCGATGCAAGTCCTTAGCTATCTAGTAGCATTCACCCTATGAATTCGTTAGATCAATTCACCTGATTTAGAGAGTTTATATAGTGAATTAAGTCACCTTACCTAACGCGCTTGCATCTCATCTTGATCTAAATGCTGGCGGCTTGCTAGGGCCCATTTGTGTCCCGCAGATTTTTAATCATTTTGATAAATCCAAATTCAAGTATTGAGAAGGCTGGGACTTTATTCGCCATTATAATAAATTTGATCAAATATGTCGTAAAGTATCGATCCTATGTAAAAAGTAATACACACAATGCTGAAAGAAATTAAATTCACTGTAATTTTGTTTCTATAAAATTATAACAATAGTCAACAGTTTACGTCTTATTCGAAAATACATGTAGTGATATACCCCATTCGTAGTCCATTTACGCCCAGACAAAACACATGCCCAAAAGCGAGATTGTACAGGTCCGTATTTTCCTCAATGGTCTTGGAATCTGGCATATAGATGACAAAACTTAAAGCGAAGTGAACACTTTCGATGGTAATTTCAAGCTTTCAGCAAGCTATGTTGTCATTTTCAGGAGCTGAAACACAACTATGAAAATATCAACCAATTCAGAACAGATTTAAATTTCCAAACTAAATATTAAAGGTATAAAACCAAAGGGCCGGACACATTGTGTTTGTTGTTAACGACGGAACACAAAGCTACGTGTTACAATCATTTATCAAAAAACCCGAACAAATTGAAAAAATGGAAAACATACTTAAGCTATTAAAAACTAACTTTACATTTCGGGGAACAGAAAATTCTTTTTTAACACCCTATAGGTACTTGTTGCACGTGGTGAAACTGTATGAACCCGGAAATGTGAAGTGGTAGATAGATTACATACGTACTTCACGGAAGAATGTGAAAGTGTAAAAATTATTGCCAACTTATCAGGTATAATGCCTACGAGGGGCGTTCTAAACAACCTTTCGTATTTCCAAAATGCTGAATTATTTTAGTCATTTTGGTAAAGTTTTCTGGTGTGTGATTACCATCATATGTTCGTAGGAAGTACACTTCGCCAAAATGAAGATAATTCAGCATTTTGGGAAATATGAAAGGTTTTTACGAACGCCCGTCGCAGGCACTATAATATAATAAGTTTTCAATAATTTTTAAACTTACATGTGCTTTCATGAGGTACATCTGTCATCTGTCTACCACGTCACATTTCCGGGTTCATTGACTTTCATCACGTGCAACAAGAGTAGGGTGTTAAAAAAGAATTTTCTGTTCCCAAAAATGTAGAGTTAGTTTTTAATAACTTAAGTATGTGTTCCATTTTTTCAATTTGTTCGGGTTTTTTGATAAGTGGTTGTAATACTATGTCTTCCGTCGTTAGCAACAAATACAATGTCTTTTGGTTTTATAATTTTAACAAGTATTCTCATTCACGCTTTCGTTGTAAAACGCCATTTTGCTGCAACCTCATCGACGAGTAAGTAATTCGAAAATTTAATATGTTCTAAATTCGTTGCTGTTTTCATAATTATGTTTTAGCTCCTGTAGATGACAACATAGTTTGTCGAAAGCTTGAGATTACCGCTTTAAGTTTTGCCAATTCGCAATAAACAATTTAATTGTATATATTCATATAAAGAGAAAATGATCATGCGGAGAAAAGTATATAAAAATCGGATAATAATGGGCAAAATCTGTAAAAGAAGGAATGTGGATTCGAGCAAAACATATAACCCGAGCAATACGTATTTCTTGAAATGAATGCACATATACAACCACAAAAGTTGATACATCCGTCTTCTAGCCATTTTATACTACAATGTGTAGGTTGGCTCTTGCTCGGGACTAGCGTGTTAACTCTTGTCCCTCTCCATCTTCGTTTCCTCAGGTTATACCCGTATCCGGATGTCTGGGCATGTGTATCTACTTTGGTGATTGCATATGTGCATTCATTTCGGGCTTAATGAAGCCAACAAGTAGAAATACGTATTGCTCGGGTTGCCTATTCTATTTATATATATATATATATATATATATACCGGGTGTTCCGTAATGATATGCGAATATTTAAGGATGTGAATCTACATGAAAAATTAATGTTAGTTTGCTTTATAAACTATGGTCCAGAATGTTTCCTTAGAAAAACTCGGCGTGTTGAAGTTTTAAGAAAAAAATGGAAATTAATTTTCAGAACCGCTTCAGATATTTCACTGATATTTAGTACGTAGTGACAGTTAATAAAGTTGCATATCTTTCAACACAAAAATAATTTTTAGCTTTAAAAGTGGCTTACAGAAAAAAATGGTACGCCAATAGTTTTTTGCCAAATAAAAATTATTTTTGAATTCCCCGTTCAATTTACAACAAATGAATCTTTTTAAATTGTTTTCCTTCGATGCGCCATTTTTGAGTAAATAAACAAAAACCGTCCTATTGTCCGAGAAAATTAATATAAAATTGAAGAATGCCATTTAGCAATAAATATCTAGTTGCTCTGGAATATGTCACTGGCTTTTGATGTCTGACAAGTCTCTGTTATTCAAATCTGTTCGCTGTGACATCTTTTTCATTATTTAATTTTTACAATCTTGTTAATAATGGTGAATTATTCAAATGCAGAAATGGCGGAAATGCATTACGTATATGGCCTTGCCGACGGTAATGATGAGCAAGCCAGACGGATTTATCACCAGAGAAATCCCGATCGTGCTTTGCCAGATAGTCGAACCTTTCTTAATATTCATCGTCGTCTTGTTGAAACTGGTTCTGTCCGAAAAGCAACATCTGAAGGTAGACCTCTAAGTGTGAGTACACCTGAAATTGAGGAAGCAGTGCTGCACGAAGTCGAAGAGCATCCTGAAACGAGTACGAGGAAGATCGCTAGACACTTAAATACTTGCCACCAAATTGTTTGGAGAATTGTAGTGGATTTTTTTACATCCTTACCATATTTTAAGAGTACAGACATTACTTCCCATTGATTTTCCAAGGCGTGTGACCTTTTGTCAGTGGTATCTTCAAAAAATTACACAAAATCCGCAATTTGAATCAATGATTTTGTTCACGGACTAAGCTAATTTTTCTCGAAATGCCATTCAGAATTTCCACAATAATCATTTGTTTACAGAAGAAGATCCCTATGCCATAACCGAAACCCATTTCCAACACCAATTTTCGATTAACGTATTTTCAGGAACTATTGGCAACCACTTTATTGGCCCATTTCTCTTGCCGGGACGACTTGACGGACAGACTTACCTCAATTTTCTTCAAACAAAAGTTGCCTTTGCTGTTTGATGATGTTCCGTTAGTAATAAGAAACAATATTTCTTACATGCATGATGGTGCACCAGCGCATTCCAGTGTAGCGGTTCGTAATTATTTACAAACTGTTTATCCAAATCGTTGGATTGGCCGCGGCGGGCCCCAAGAATGGCCACCAAGGTCCCCGGACCTCAACAGTTTAGATTTCTTTTTGTGGAGCTATCTTAAGACATTAGTGTACACAAGTCCCATTAACACTGTAGAGGAATTAACAGAAAGGATAGTTTCAGCTTGTGATAGAATAAAAAACAGTCCAGGGATATTTCAACGAGTGCGCAATTCCATGAGAAGGAGGGCGGAAGCATACTAAGTGACGGGAGGCCATTTTCAACAATTTTTGTAATCATTTCGTTGGTTTAGTGTTTATGTTTATGTTGTCAGTTGTTTTTGTTCATTACCCCTAATGTGTTTAATTTTTCCAATTAAATTAATAATAATTTTGCAAGTTAGACAATAGAACGGGCGCATCGAAGAAAAACAATTCAAGAATGATATTTGTTTTAAATTGAACGGGGAACTCAAAAATAATTTTTATTTGGCAAAAAACCATTGGCGTACCATTTTTTTCTTAAAAAATATCGAAGTCAATACCCGTACGCACGCCACTGTTAAAGCTAAAAATTATTTTTGCATTGAAACATATGCAACTTTATTAACTTTCACTACGTACTAAATATCAGTGAAATATCTGAAGCAGTTCTGAAAATATTAATTAATTTCCATTTTTTTCCTAAAACTTCCACACCCAGAGTTTTTGTAAGGAAACATTTTTGGACCATAGTTTATAAGGCAAACTAAGATTAATTTTTCATGAAGATTCACACCCTTAAATATTCGCATATCATTAAGGAACACCCTGTATATATTCACCCCATTCCCTGGTCTAAGAACGTGAAAGTCCTTTTTGTAGCAAATTTTATTCTCTACAAAATTATAGCAGTCTCATTGTGCTTAGATTATTAGTTTAACCATAATAAGAGAAAACATAATTGATTACATGAACCTTTACCTTGGAACTTCTCTCTCTAGAGAAGTTTATTTCGTACTAAATTGTTTTTATCACTTATTCAAATAGGATCTGTAGTTAACGAGATATTTGATTAAATGCGACTAATGCCTTAACCATATCATGACGCTAATTTTAACTTATTATTCAAGTCCAATATTCTCATAAGATCGCCAAAAACAGTTTCTGTTGCACTTATTGTAGAATTTTGTTATTCAAAATATCGCTCAATAACAAAAGGTGATTGCATAAAAGGTGACGCACGCATAACGAATCTACTGGTTATGTCTAAAAAGTATAATTCTTTGCAGATTTCGCGCCCGCCGCTGCAATTGTGGCCATAGCAAGCGGCGTCTGGCGCCGCTGTCGCCAAGACTGTCCCACAGCCGCTGATCTGCACCAACAGCAGCGCCACTACCCAGCCAGCATTCCCTGTCGCGCAGCCGCAGCTTGCGCGCCAGGTCCAGCCACCAGTCAACCCAGATCCGGATCCACTTGACTTGGATCTGGGTTTGCTGTGGCGGGAGCTGGCAGGACTGCGGTTGGACGAATTTTGCAGGTTGCAGTTGACCAGGACACGGTAGAGCGTGCGGTAGCCATGGGGAATGGGAGACGGTTCATGGTTGCGTGGAAAGGTCACTTTCAGGAGGTTTGCATACCCGAGTATAATTAATTTATAGACCTTATAATGTTACACATGTCTCTCGTCGGTGTATTTAATTACTCAAAAGAAACAACCTTCTTGGTATCAAGCTTGAGGATTATACTTCACCTCACTAATCTCATCCAAATCCAACTCATTCATGTCACTTTTTTCGGAATCTAATTAGCGTATACATTGAATACATTCAGCTTCCATATCAAATAAGTCTTACGATACTCAGGAATATATTATAAAATAATTTTATGGAATAAACGTATGCACAAAAAGAAGAACTGAAATTATACAACTGGATCAGGGATTCTTGTCAACAATGCTCAGCTATGCTCAATACATGTTTAGGGACTGATATATCCGATGCAAATACAAAGTGCCTATCACTATGATCATCACAATAATCCGAAAATCATACTCATAGCTTACTCATAAGTGAAAATATGTCTTAGGTGTCTGAAACCTCCTGGAATGATAACTTTCATTTTCACCATCACGACCTCCCTTGATCTCCGAAATTAGTTTTCTTTGTTATGTTGTTGCATTTTTATACGCATTTATTTTTGGGACAAAAAACGTAGTAACTTTTTGGCGATGGCACTGCGTTTCTTACACATACATTGTGGTCCGTCACCGAACCTTTTTGACAATCTGACCTTTGAATACTCCCAGTCATCGAATTTTGTAAAATCAATCGACAATACATATTTCACACAATATCGGTTAGTCTAATCATATTAGACGAAAATACCCCTGGTTTGCGAAATAATTGCAAAGCCTGATTTAGTTTTTCAATTGGATATTTAAAACATGGACGCATAAAATTAGTACACCAAATTTTGTGGTAAATCTTTTTATTTGACAACAAAGAATAAGGTTTGTGGGTATTTATGAGAGCTGCAGAATGATACCACACGTAAAAAAATCTAACTAATAGTAAAAAAGTTAGGGTCGAAAACCGAGGCAAAATGCAGATTTTGGCACTTGTTGCTAATGCGACTATAATTTCAGGCAGCTACTTGAAATTCTTTAAATCCGAAGGCTTCTCACTTCTAAAAAACCACAACAAAATTGGAGTCACTTGGTCAGGCAGTTTTTGAGAATTTTGGGGTAAACAATTACAAAAATCTCAAAAACTACTTTGAAGAATTTCAAGTAGCTTCGTGAAGTTATCGTCGCATTAGCAACAAGTGCCAAAACCTGCATTTTGCCTCGGTTTTCGGCCATAACTTTTTTACTATTAGTGGGATCTTTTTACGTGTGGTCTCATTCTGTAGGTCACATAAATGCCTACAAATCTTATTAAATGAATTTTTCCGTTCCTCCCAGCACTTTCGATTGAATCCCAAAAAACACGTTTTCTCATTTATTGTTGTCAAAAGTTTCCCCACAAAAATTGGAGTACCCATCCTATGCATCCATGGTTTCAAATACCCCCTTGAACAACTTGCAAAAGTAAAACCAGACTTTACAATTATTTCTGGGAAATTTGCTAATATGTATACAAAAATATCTCTGATACGACTTGGACCACTCTGTATAAGCCGTTCCCTTAGATACATGTACAATATAAAAAGAGGTTATGTTATTAGTTTATTGTAATTATATGTTTGTTAGTTTTTAGTGAATTTTTATTCGTACATAGGTGGAAGTCATAGAAAAATATTATAGACATCTACAGCATGTACATGTGCGTTTTGTTAATGGTATGATATATTCATCTTGTTTGTATGGTTTCTGTATATTTTGAACGGTACAAGAAGGTTAGATATGATGAATTTTAAGAGTTACATTACTGCTTCATCATATGTTAATTACAGAAACAGTACAAAAATTGTGTACATCTCGCACATAAAGATGGAGAGTCGAAAGTTCGTGTGACTTTCAGTAATGTTACTACTGTCTTGCAAATTTTGGATTTGCCATCTCCGTACATTAGATGGCTATAACATATTCACGTTTTATTCTGGGTTGCTCGCCCGCCATTTTGGAGTGGAAATAGAACCAGTATGGCAGTTTGCAAGATTCTTACATTCTCTAGAGCAAAGTATCATAATTAATTTTCGTAAATTCGAGCAAACGGAGGGATGGACAGTTTTAACAGAAGCTTGAACTTAGGAAATTATGATTAAATTTATGTAGATCTGGTATCCATATGATCAAATATGCAATCAGCATGTGCTCTTGAACCACATCGTAATAAGTGCTAATTTCAATTATCGCTGCTTCACTTTGAACTGACACATCTAGCGCACCACATACTTGCATCGGTAGACCGACCACGGTATTATGCATGGTGTTCATTTCAAAACTACGGATTTATCGAAAATAACTGATTAAAAAAAACGCCGAGTCACGTCAAAAGATTTGTCAAGGGGGACAACTTTTTAACCAAAAACTACTTCACCCCGGCCCCCCAGGGTAATCCTCTTAAATTTTTTAAATGACAAGGAATATCGGGTAATAGCTTGTTTGAGAGGTCTTTCAAAGTCCTTTATTTTGACTTTAATATTTTTAAATCGGTCGATTCTTTTTCATGAAAATTAAAAAAATCTTTATTTATCTTAATTTGTTCAGATAGAAAACAAATACACACGAAAATATCTTTCTCTTAGCAATAGATAACTAAACAGATATAAAAATAAATACAGTTCGCCCAGAATATCTGTGTTGATGAAAAGAATGCGGAAAAAAATTCGGGTTGTTATTTGGTTGTTGCCTCGTCTAATCTTCCAACTTGCTGTTTATGTTGGCAGTTTCCGTTTTACATTATAAACGAATTGTAGATTTGGCAAACTTTAACGGGTAACATTTGAACACTTATTGAAATAAAAAGTGATATTTTTTTAGTTGTCCCCATTGACAAATCTTTTGACGTGTCTCGACGTTTTTCCCTCGTTTTCGATAAACCCGTTTTGGGAAGTCTTCAAATGAACACCCAGTACTCGTATATACACCTTTTACTAACAAGAACATTCTTAGTTTAGTTCAAAAACTACATTGCGGGATCGCGTATTGATTTATAATCAGAGTCCAGTTTATATCTACATTAATTTTGTCCTATCTTCCCACATTAATATAGGTATTATAATTCAAATTTAATCTAGTTATAAAGTAAAACAAATTTACAGGGCGTTCAACCAGAGTAAAATGATGGCTCCACCAAATCCTCACCTAAAATCTTATAATGTGATTATACCGTTATGACTTTTTTTAGTTAAAACTCGAATTTTGACGCAGAGGCAGGTCACAACGTCAATAAACCCTTGACTATAAATCTATATATATATATATATAGAAATATATAAAGCAATCCTGTTTTTTGTGAGTGTCTTTTACTAGGTAGATTTTTAAATGTTAGACATATATAACTATTATGCACCTGTGTTGGTTTTATATTACTATGGACCTTACTTAATTACCTTGTAAGTGAATATTATAAATAGTAATAATAATATGCTGTGTCCCAATAACTAGTGATATAATTAGGCGTGAATGGATCCAACGTCGATCGGGCAAAACAAATGAATATATTGACGAGAAAGTACATAGTTGACGATCGCGTGTGCGTGCTGCGAGTCGAAGGTGCGAGAGAATTCTGTTATCGTTATCAGTGTCGTTGTGATGGGTTTCAGGGCGCGGTGCAGTGACGTCATCGCATGGTCGTTCAACCTAGTGTTGAAAAACTATTTCGCTATCTACCAGATCAAGCAACTTGGCCCATAAGATTTCAACTGATTTTTGACCAACTTGAATAAATGGTAAGGTACTTCCATCCCCGGTAGCAACATCGTACAGAGGAATCCAAATATCACTGACGAGGTAATGTGTGATAGAAGCAGGAGAAGTGGCAGCGTGGTGCTTCTATCTCTTTCTAACATACGTATTGTACCCCTCTCTCGCGTACACCTTTACACATTACGACGTCAGGATACGAGGTTTGTTCGCAAAATACGTATAAAAATGTAATAATAACTTTATTTTATAATTGTTCGGGTATTTCAATATGGTCTCCTTCAAATTACTCCCCCTGAGACAAGATGCACTTCTGCTAACGCCGTTTCCACTGTTGATACGGTCGCTGAAAGTCGTCAATTGTGAGGCTCTTCATTTGCCGTGTCGTTTCTGCCCCCGAAGCACCATTTTGCATTTTGGGAACAGGAAGAAATCGCATGGGCCTAAATCGGATGAACGAGGCGGGCGTTCTGTCACCGTGATTGAGCTTCGCGCCAAAAACCCACGCACAACGAGAGACGTGTGAACAGGCGCGTTGTCGTGATAAGGATCCACCTGCCCCGTTGTGCCAAATCCGGTCGAACTTGTCCCACCAGAGCTCTGAGTCGACGCAAAACTTCAATGTAAACATTTCTGTTCACTGTCTGACCGGAAGGGACAAATTTCTTGTGAAAAAATGCCCCAGGAATCAAAGACAACAATCAACATTGTTTTCACGTTGGACCTTGTTTTTTCGAACTCGGTTCCTCTGCTTGCTTCCACTCCATGCTTTGAGATTTCAGCTCATCGAATTCGTAGAACCAAGACTCTCTAGTGATCTCCCGGTTGAGAAAGTCCCCCCTTTCCTCTGCTTCCAACCAATCCTCACAGCAAGCAACCCTCCAATCGACGGTCGTTAAGAACACAGCCCCGAATTCGTTCAACATTTTCCTCAGAGCTCGATGTGGAGGGGCGTCCTGAGCGTTGGTCATCTCTTACATCTTCTCGAAACCTTTTCAACCACTTGTTGACGGTTGGTTCCTCCAGAGAATTGGCTCTGTATACTTGTTTCAAACACTCCACCATTCTTGCCCTGCTTTGCAAGAAAAATGATGTTGATGCGCTGTTTCTCGATCAGAGAGAGCTCCATGCCGATGGCAGATAAAAAAAGGGTTACTTTCAATAGGCACACGTAAATCCTACTCACAGGCAGAGCGCTTCGGCTTGAACTGAGCATAGAGGGGATTGCATAGAGAAAGAGAACCACCCGGCCACCCGTCCACAACGTCTTGAAACGACGCCCCGAATTTTTTATACGTATTTTCCGGACAAACGTCGTATATGGATGTATGTGTATACACTGGGTGAGACAGAAAACAGAACACCCAGCAAAAATGTATTAACAAACTTTCTACATTCATGTTGTAGGAACCCAAAAAAAAGGGATTATGAGATGTAGTCTATGTACCTACGTAGCTTTTACGTTTTCGTTGGGTGATCGGTTTTTTATGTCACCAAGTATATATTTTGATGTTAGTGATGCAATTCCAAAGCCATCTTATAAAAGTAATCCATAATTAATCGTAACACTTGTGGCTAAATAAGAAGTAAAATCTTAAGTTCTTTATCATGATTATCATTATAATCATGTCAATGTCATTACATTTTTGTTGTGTCAATTCGTTCTTGTTCTTGTAGATAGTGAATAAAAATTGTATATTATGCTAAATGACGTCACAATACCTATGGTTCAGGGACAGTCGGTCTCCCTGCTCGAAATAGTATACTGCCACATCATCACCCTCTGTTAAGAATATGCTGGATTTTTATCTTCATCCAAATTATTTTGAAATTTTTAACTAAATTATGTTAATGTACTATTGATAGATGGTTATACAGGATGTCCCAGGAGTAACACACCAGAGTGACGCAGGAGGTAGATTGGCTTCAAATCAAACAGATGGAATCAACATGACCTTAGTAAAAGTTTTCTAGTTTTAGAAAAATTGCCACTTTCAGGTTTTTCAAAAAATCACTACTTTTTGCTCATTTTTTGCATATTATGACAAAACTTGGAATTATTAAATTTTTAGTAGAAAGAATCTACAAATGTTATACCATTTTTAAAAGAGCATTAAATAGGCTAGTTTTTATGATCATTTGCCGATTCAGTCCGGTACATTTTTTCACAGTAATTAGGCAAAC